CCCCGCGCCCTCGCCTCATCTCACACGGGCCGATGCAAATGCATGGGTGCACGCGGCAGCCCTGCTCGCAGCTGCCCAACAGCGACCGGTGTCCCTCTGAGTGGGAGGTGGGTTTTGCATTTGTACTGCAGGAGCATGTGGAGACCTAGCTGGTCCTCCTAGATGGAGGACCTAGATGGAATCCAGCTCCCAGGGCAGGTGCCTGAGGAGGACGGGATTTAGCCGAGGGATGGCCAAGAGCAAGTGGTGCAGGGGGCTGAGAAACCCTACAGAGCTCCCAGGAAGGAATGACATCCAGCCCCAGGATGTCTGTCTGTCCCTTTGGGTCTTGCACCATGCACGGCAGCCCCCAGTGCCCTCCATCCCCTCGCCAGCCAGGGCCAGGGTGCTGGGTGAGTGCAGGCGCTCGCTCTGTTCCCCTCCTCCCAGCCCAAGGAGCAGCGGGTTTGGGCCGTGCTCGAAGAGAGCAGAGGATGTTTGTTTGGTTCCCCTGGTTACCGCACTGCCTGCTTCACTGATCACATTTTCCTTGTGCCGCCTGCGCCAAGAGAGCAGCAGAGAGGAAATCTGGAACAACCGAGGTCACACACCGGCCTGGGAACAGCCGGGGCCACTGCTGGGACTTGTCACAGTCCCTCTGTGGCATTCAGGTCCTTGCTGCTGTGGGCATCCAGCCCAAAGGGATGTACCAGACGGAGGATGCAGGCTCCGAGCTCACTCCGAGTTCACTCCTGGCTCCCTCCAGCCGCTGCCAGAGGGCTCCTGTCACACCCACAGGGGCCGGGGACGCAGGGAGCGGCGCTGAACTGCAACTGGAATGAAAGGAATGAAAATGTTCGTGCAGGCAGAAGCCAGGTTGGCGGCAGGAGCAGAGGATGCGAGTGGGGTGCGGCTGTACTTAGCACGGCCTCAGCGGCGGCGGGGGGCATGGGGCAGGGCTGCTAATGCCTCTTATTCCTCCAGCAATTCTCAGCGCCATTAACCACAGAGCAACTAGAGCCAGTTCTTATCCTTGTCCCCAGGAGTTTCACCTGCGTATTAGTGCTCACAGACAGCCCTCTGTGCTGCAGCAGCAGAATCAAGGTTTGATTTGTGCAAGCTGTGTAGAACTGGAGCATCAAACTCGTATCCCCTTTGACAATTCACTGCACGCACTGTGAGGCTGGTGCCCCGGCCGCCCTGCGTCTTGAGAGCTCAAGCTCCAACACAGCATGTGCTGGTGGCCCTGCTGCTTTAGCGTCTTGTGTCTACGCCGGACAACCGAACCAACGTGCATCAGGAGAGCAGAGCAGGGGAGAATCATCTACCCTCCAGCACGGCAGCACCGCACGAGCTGGGATAAGCCCTGCTTGTCCTGACCCTCCTCTTTCCTTCCTCCCCAGCTGACATGGAGCAGGGGCAGCGCAGCCTGGATGCGGAGCAGATGCAGCAGCAGCTCAAACTGCGGGACCGGCAGAAGTTCTTTGAGGAGGTTTTCCAGCACGATGTGGATTTCTTCTTCCCGATATCTCACCTGCAGATAGAGCATCGGAGACGTAAGTGCTGGGGGCACCAGCGTGGGGATTGAGGGGGGTTTCAGGGACTGGTGACACGGGCCTGGGGTGCAGGTGTCACCCATCTAAAGGTGGCTGGGGACACGTGTCTTGCACCGAGACAGTGTCACGCACAGGGGATGTGAGTGGGCGTATGGGTTACTCACAGCACTTAGCTGCAGGCACTGAACTTGGGCACCAAGGCTGGTTCCCTGCATAGGCACAGGATTGAAACAGGCTTCTCCAGGCAGCAGTTTGGAGCAGGGATGGCAGTGAGACAGCAGAGGCTTCCAAAAGGATGTCTTAAGGAAACACGATTCTACCAAAGGCTTCTTAACAGCAAGTGGAGTTTAGCTCCCCACAGCAAAGCTGCTCTCCCTCTTCCAAGTTCTGTCTGGAGTCTCTGGGCTGGCCTGGTCTTGGCAACATCCCCAGGGCTGATGGTGCCCTTTGCCTGGGGGAACACTCACCCTTTTGCTGGCCCCTGTTCTCTGCAGCTCCCTTAGGCAGCATTTCCTCCATGGAGGTGAACGTGGACATGCTTGAGCAGATGGACATGATGGACCTGTCAGACCAGGACACTGTGGACGTGTTTCTTCCCTGTGGGACAGAGGACAGTAGCGTTGCTGAGCCCCTGCCAGGTATGTGTGGTCTGAGCCCTTTGCAAGCCAGGCTGGGAGCTCGTCCTGCTCCCACTAGCTCCCTTGTTCTCCAGCCCGGTCCACGCTGCCTCAACTGTCCCCAGCTCCAGGCTCAGCACACAGGCACAACACCCCCTGGCACGGAGATGACCACGTGGTGCTGGGGACTACAGGGTCTTCACTCTGGGTGGTCCATGGCAGCAACCACATCCCCCTGCACAGCACCAAGCCCCAGTGGGCAACCCTGAGACAGGGACGTCTGTAATGAGCTCCCGCTGCAGAAGACAACAGAGCAGAGGCCCCTTCCAAAGCCTGTGTGACTGAAGTCCCATGTCCTAAAGCTTCTCTGGAGCAGCCAGTGTCTTTTCATGGGTTCTCAGGTCCTCAGGATCCCAGAGAGCTGCCTATGCTGGGCAGGGAGGCTCCAGGACCCCTCCACCTTGCAGCCCAGAAGTGGCTGGGCCTCGGTCCCCGCAGGGACAGCGTGGGGTGCCCAGGCCTTCCTCCCCACGCACACGCGCTGCAGTGATTCACTGCGAGGCCAAGCCAAACAGCTCCCTCGCAGATCTCCTGGGCTGCGGCCGATGGCCACACGCAGCTCTGAGCCGCATTTCAGAGAAGGCTGAAAAAGCTCCATTGCCAAAAATGGGGAAGGAATGTGAGACACTGCCCGGAGCCAAGCTGGGGGTGAAGCGGGGAGCAGGCTAAGGCAGCCACGTGCCTCCTGGTGGGCAGCGGAGCGGGGTGCGTGGCTGGGGAGCCTGGAGAAGCGTATCCTGCAGCGGGGTAAGGTGATGGAGGAAGAGACCTCCGAAAGCCTTTTACTGTCTCTGCTTACCTCTCTCCTTGGGGCAGACACCAGCCAGTGCCCAGAGGAGATTACTCCACAAGTGCCCAACTCAGACGAGGCCAAGTCACGCGTTTCCTCGACGTCCTCTGTCTCCACGGACCATAACAGCCTGGACACCAGCGAGGAGGGGGCCGAGACTCCTGTGGTGCAGTCGGACGAGGAGGACCTGCAGGAGGACAGTGCAAAGGAGCAGGGGGCACAAAGCTAGCGGCCAGCCCTGCTCTCCTCGGTACGGACCTGCCAGCATGGGGACAGGAAAGCTGCCAGCCCTGACTGCCATGCAGCAAAGCCCACCCTGGACTGGTGCCCTGCAGGAGCGCAGAGATGGCTCCCCCTGCTCTCACTCCAGGCGTTCTCCCAGCAGAGAGGGAAGGGGCTCTCGTAGGCCCCCTGCATTAACGCTCCAGGTTCTGCTGCTAACACTGCCCGCTTCACTCGCCCCTGCCATGCTCAGCTCCCCGCGGCCAGACCGGCCCAGGCCTCCCTTGGGCTGTCAGCTCCGGCCGAGGGGGATCCCTTAACAAGAAATACACCTGTTCCGAATGCAGCAGCAGGGTGCACGTCTTTGCGAGGGGGCCGCGGTGCAGGGGCCTCCAGGAGGGAGGCAGGCGGTGCACGCCGCTGCGCCCGGGGGCAGCACAGACGGGCAGCGGGGCCTGGGGACAGGCCTGGCACCCACGAGCGGCTCTCGAGGCTGCAGCGGGGCCGCAGCTCAGGG